GTTCCACTTATTTCTATGTATCTAATTCTTCTACTCATCTTTGGTGTTCGGTTATGAAAATAAAGATATTTTCCCATTCCACACATAAATTTGTTTCATTCAAAGTTGCTAAAACTAAAGTCAGATATTGGAATTGACAAAAAGATGTGAGTGTTCCTCCAAAATAATAAGTATTCCAAACTATGATATATTTCCAGTCTTTCCTTTGAAATCTCAAACTGTACATAAACAAAAAGTTCATTTGACTGAATAGGAGACCCCTCTCTATAGAACTGGGATGTCGAGCTCTATTTTATTGACAGCCACATCAGGGTTGTGTTTGACCTCAGGGGGCCAGGGTGGGCATGGCCAGCATGAAGTTACTTGTGTTGGTAGCGCCTGTAGTGGCCTGCGCACACTTGCGTAGTTTTTGGCTGCGATAGCCTCCTGAAACCTTCTGCCAGTAAAAATGGAACTCGGGAGGGCATGTGAACTCTGTTTCAGCTGAGATGGCCTCCTGCAATCTCTTCCAGTGAAAACGGAGCTCGGGAGGGCCACGCATGGCCCTCACCCGCCCCATTTTTGCTGGCAGAGGCACCACGGGCTGGTCCTTTGCTATTTCCAGGCAGCCCCATGGGCCAGATCTAAGCACCCCACGGGCCAGATCCAACCCCTGGGCCTTGAGTTTGACACCCCTACTGTAGAACATATTTTGAGATTCATCCTTAAATTAGCCGTGACAAATAGAACCTCCAGTGTGACATCCCTATTATTAATAAGAATTTTGGGCTGTTTCTACATTAGACAGTTGACTGAAATTGCCATAATTTGTTCATTCACTATGCTATATAAAATACAATACAATGTATATAAAATACTGTACAAACACATACACACAAAAGACCCACTCTATGCTTCTACCTTTTTAAATACAAAGGATATATAGTGAGAATTAAAAAGTAACACTATTCAGTATTCATCCATTGTAATTTGTAATGGTTATCATTTATGTTCCAATGTATTAAAAGGTGAACATTTGTGTGTGTGTGTGTGTGTATAGAGAGACAGACATACACAGAGAGAGAGACAGAGACGGAGGGGGGGAAGGAGGGAGGGAGAAGCTTGGTGGTTTAGTGCCCAGCTCCCACTCAGAAGGTTGAGAATTCAATCCTAGATAATGGCCAATGTTTCTCTACTAGAACACAAAGAAAAACATGGAACTAAACTAAACATGGTTACACTAAACATGTACCAAACTGAAACTGGTCTCACAAGTGCATAACTGTAACTGTTACTGAGACAGAGCAAGGTAAACTTACAGAAAGAGTAATATTCCCAATAAAGCAATATAAATATATATATATATTTCTTAAAGTTTACATCAGAAAAGGAAAAAAATATTGATTAATATTAGGAGTACCTGCCAAGAAATAATCTTAATGTCATAAGTTAGTGCAATTGAGGTTAACTGCAAACATATACAATTATTAGGTGATAAGAGTTAATGCAATTATTCTCTCAAAGCAGCAATTTATTTCAACTACATATTGACGATCCAGCAGGGCCTTCCTTCTTTCAATTATCTAAGTTCATGTTCAAAATTTTAAATGGAATGCAAGCATCATCTCCTCTTTGTAACTCTCTTGTGTTCTTCACAATTTTCTTCTTTTCCCCTCATCCTTAGAGGGGGAAAAAGCTGTTAAAAAACAAAAACAAAATACAGTGTAGTTCAGGTGTTTTCACTGGTGGCAAGCCAAGTCTTTCATCTGGAAGAACAGTTTGACACTGGACTATGCGGATGTTTCAACAGTCATAAGTGTGAGGACCTATTGTAAATTTTTCAGTGGCGTTGTTACTTCAGTTGTTAAAATTTATGAATGGTTGTAAGTTGAGAGCTAACTGTATTGGAATGTGGGGAAAGATGCAGGAAAAGGTCCCAAAACATTTTACCATAGAGTTCATAAAGCTTTGATAATAGAATTAGTATATATATGGGTGTGTGTATACAGCTCCCCCGCCCCAATGCATATATAATAATGGAGTCTTGTAAGGCCATTCATCATTATAAAGGGAGTTAAATGAAATAATGATAAAAATGTCTTTGTTCCATTAAATGAGGGCAGGGCAAAAATCTTCCTCCAGAAGTTGCCACTGACTGAACTACAAACTTTAAAGTGCACAGGGAGTAATCCATCCAATACTGTTACAAATAGTAACTATGTTTACATGTGATCTAAAATTAACTATAGTATATGCCCCGCTTGCATCTTTTGTCTTTCCCACTTTTTGGAATGCAGGCAGGCTAGGCCATAGATCGAAAATGGCCTTCAGCATTATGAGCTTCCTGTATTTTCCTTTCTGAGATATCCCTCCTTTAAAAACCTTATTAATTTATGTGCTATATTCTACACATGCCTTTGTTCAAGGTTCTGATCCATAACTAAATGAATCCTGTTTTCTCTCCTATAAAACAGTGCATATCTGGGTTTTCTGTGTCTTGAATTATCTCATGAGACTTTTTTCAACTCAGCATTCTTTCCACAGTTCTTTCTGCCTGAGGTCTAGGATTTTTGGCTAAGTCACTCTTTTGTCTTCTTCACAGTGGCTTAATTTTTTTTTTAAAAAAAAATACTGATTCATTTACACAGCCATTGGAATGTTCATCAAATTTCCATGATGAAATTTGTATTTACTTCACAATGAGTACACATATCTAGATTTGAGCCTGTATTTACAAATGAGAAGAACAAGTTTCCTGAGTTTTATTCCATGTTTTGAAAAAGAAAAATATGTCTAATGGGTCAAGAAAATGAACCTTCCAAGAGGATCAATGTTTTCCACTGTCCAAAGAGAAAGGAAGGATCATCACTGCCTCCAGAACTTACTCACTAATAAGCAATAGATAATGCAGCACCAGGAGCAGTAGTATCCATCTCAGCATTTTGAATGGCAGAGTCACGAGTCATACTCTGTCTGCTGAATCTTTCAAGGAAAGAGCTATTTTTTTAATGCTGCTACAGATATGTATTTGTAACACCTAATGGTGGAGAAGGGGGCAGAGCCAAATTCAAATATTTCCCAGAAAACAATAGTGAAGGCTATGTCTTCTATCCGCCATCATAATGTATAGGTCCACTTTTGGAAACAATGTGGGGTTCCAGTCCCCATCTCATACAGCTGGCAAGGCGCTTGTTCTGAACTCCAGCCATGCATTCAGCTGGGGATGCATGTGCTGTAGCTCACATTGATGGTACATGGACTCAGATTATCTGACCAGTGAAGATAGTTCCTATTATTTTGTAACAGTGAATTAGGGATTGATATTTATTGCCTTTCCCAACACTGTTCCAAATGGAACGGCCCTGCTGAAAGCTTCCTAAGTTCAGGCAATGATAGAGATAGTAGAACAGGGCTGTCAAACTCCCGGCTGGTGGGCTGGATATGTCATCTGCCCATGCCTGGTTTAGCGAAGGGGGGAAAAGTCCCAATATGTTACGTGATGCCATTGTGACACCGTGAGTTTGACTCCCCCGTAGTAGAGCAAGTGTGGGATATAAAGGAAAACTGTTACCTTTAACTACGTACTCAGTTTTGACTCAGTGACAACAGAACAATGTCAAGAAGTTGTGGTGGACAACTGTTCTCCTCTGCTTCCCCCAAAAAAGTTGTTGTGGATTCAAATCCTGAAGCCGAACTATCTAGCCTGTGTGAATCCAGGCCTTACAGTTTTTGATGTGCCAAAACTCAGAAATTGATATGAACCATAATTAGCGATAGGTCAGTAGTAGATCCATATAACGCAAGTCAGCAAAAGCAAAACACCTGTGCTCAAAACACTAAAGCACTTTCATGCTTTGGAAATTTGAAGTTGCTTCTAAAGGTGTTTAGTCACTATAGATTCCAATGGAGGTTTGTCTGGGTGACTCAACGATCAGCTAGGAATGGTCTATTTTAATGTTTTAAGCTTGAAACAGTTGCCTCTTGAAAAATCAGGTGCCTCTTTGAAAAAGCACCTTTGGGGAAAACCATGACCTGGATGATTGAGAACCTCCATAGACATTAAACTTCACTGATGCAAAAATATTTTGTGAAGCATCTCTTTTCAATGCTTTCCAGATCCATTAAGCACATTGTGCAAAGACAGGCTGCAACCATACATCTAAATCAGGGAAGGAAGGAAAGGATCGTTTAGGCCAGGGCTCTCCAACCTTGGCAACTTTAATTCTGAATTCTGGGAGTTGAAGTACGCCAGGTTTAAAGTTGCCCAAGGTTGGAGAGCCTGAAGCTTATGCATCATCAAAGCCAACCCAAAAGTTTGCCTGTTCGCGGGTTTGCATGTTGTATTATCCCGGCTAGTGGGTTGTTTACAATCATGATGCTTAGGCACACTGCAGGAATCTAATCCGTTGTTGATTCAACTCGGGTTAAACAATTTTAAGCAGAGCAGCCACGTTTGTCTATGCACACATGCCCAATCTGATTTCTTCACACACACACCCCGCCATATCGCATGTTCTCCTTCGAGCGCTCCACGCGCCAGCCGCCACGCGGACCCGCCCAGCCCGCCCAGCAGGCTCTCCGCCGGGCCAGACGCCCCGTTCGCCCAAAACAGAAATCGGCGGGGGAGGGGCAGGTGCCAGAGAGAGATCCGAATTGGCTCTTCCGGCAGGGTCCTCCCAACCGCGCACTTCCAATCACTTCCCGCGTACCTTCCTTGCGCTTTCCCTCTCCTTCCAATCGGAAGCCGCCCTCTCGCTGGCGTCTGAAGGAGGCCTGACTCCTCCCCCCCGCCCGAGAGTCAGCGAGTCAGCTGCTCCTCCGCCCCCCCCACGCCCCCCTCCCCCACCGAGCGCGCGCCCGCCCGCCTCTCGAGCCGCTCCGGGACGGTTTGTTTCTCCGCCCCGCCCCTTCCCAGCCGCGGGCGCGCGTGCTTCGCTTGGAGGCAGGAGGAAGAAAGTTACTGAGAAGCGAGGTGGGCGGGAGCAGGACGATGGGGGCGGGGGAAGGAGCTCGGTCGCTTCGGGCGCAGCCGGATCGTCCGCAGGAGTCGCGATCGGGATGGGGAAGAGCAGCCGTGGAGGCGGCCGGAGGTAAGCCCCCCCGCGGGAAAGCGGAGATTGAGGTTTATCTTAAGGCGAAAGGCGGGTGGGCGGATGGACGGAGGGCCAAATTATTTCCCCCGCGGGACTCGGGCGGCTTCTTCTGAAACGGAGACGAAGAGCGAGAGGGCAGAGCCCGGCCGGGAAGGAGGGCCCCGCCGCTGCTTCGTCTGAGTCGCGAAGTGGGAGCGAGGGAGTCGAAGGGGGGGGGGGGGGGCGGGGCCTGCCCGCCCGCGTGCTCAAACCAACCGGAGCGGAAAGGTTTTCCTTGGGGCGGCAGGTGCGAAAACCTCCGGGGTGGGGTGTGTGTGTGTGTGTGTGAAGAGTGGAGGGTGCTTGGAGTAGGTGCGGCTTTTGCTTCTGGCTCGCTTGGACCCAGCCTCCTGGAAGTGCCCGCGGGGTGCTTGGTGGAAGTCCCTTGAGGGCTCTGAGAGGAAAAGATGAAGGGCAACTAAGAAGCATTTTCTTTTGTTTATACACCCCCCCATTTCTCCGTTCTGGTTGCTGCGCCTTCCCGCCGCCTTAATTAACTCCGCTCCTTCTTGTTTACCTGCGTGCGCGACTTCTTCCGTCAGGCTCCACAATTAGTGCCTTAACTCTTAAGCAACGTGGAAGATGACCCCCCGGTCTGGCTCTTCAAAAGTAGATATATACTTTCTCTTGAGAGCAGGCAACACAATTTCCTTTTTAATGGGTGCCAGCCAATGTGCTCATCGTAAGAAAATGACAACAAAGGTTATCTTAACCTGGAGGCTTTTGTAAGGGGAGGCTGAGGAGTTATCCCTCCCAATGCCCGCCTCCAAACATTCGCCAACCTTTGGCTACCTCAATAGGGGAAAGAGGAAGGAAAGTACCGGAAGGTGTAGTTTTTATTTACAGTAAGGAATTGAGATCCGTCAAAGCCTAAAGATTGTTAAAATGATCGGATGTTCTATTATTTGTGATTCGCTTCCGTTTGCAGAGCTTAAGCCGAAGCAGAGATTCTATAGAATAGTCAGACAAATGTGTGTATTTCAAGTTAGATACTTAGCATTTTGAAATTTTATGGGCGCTGAAAAATAATAAACTTGGTTTGTGTAAAGACTATTTGGGATATCTATCAATATTTGCATTAAAGGTTTAACAAAATTCAAGTTTCAAAATTAATGATAATTTTGGAATGTTATGTAACTGGGTTACGTTTTAACCATGTATGTCTATATTCAGGTTCAAGGGAAGTGTATGAAACCTGTTCTATGTATTTCTTGAAAATAGTACATATTAATACAAGTAGGTATAGATTTGATAGTTATCAATTTCTTAAAATGCTGTTGCTTATAACATAGGATTAAGACACTGACTTTAATGAAATCTAAATATGTTTTGAGTAATTTTAGAACTAACGTATAAATATATATTTAAGCCTACAACTTAATACAAATTAAATTGAAGTGCATGTTTTAATTTCATTATCATGAAAAATATTTTAGCAAAATATGTTTTTCTCTTAAGAATAGTTAGCTGAGATTGTTAATTTGCATTATGTTAGTGCCTGATGAAATTTGCATTTGATGTACGGTTGTCATTGTAAATTTAAATTTAATACTTAGGTTATCTGTACTTGTTTCTAGTCTTATAACCTCCTCTATCCAATTAATAAAAATACAAATTATTAAATAAAACTATTCAGCTGCTTCTCAATTAGGGATTGGTTTCCCCTGGAAACATGAGTTGAAATTGGAGTGGGGGGAGTTAAATTAAATTAAATTAATTATCATTTGAAAGATGGATGCATAATCACTTATTGATACATTCATGTTCTGTATAATGTACAGATACAAATTATTTTAGAAATAACCAAAAGGGCTCATTTTCATTCTCATTATATGGAGAAGATTAAGATTTATCTGCAAAATCATGTATGTGAGTATATTGATATTGTGTGTGTGTGGGCATCTGTGTATGTGTATATATGCTTTCAAGCATCAGTGTTTCATGTCCATGTAAAAAATATCTTAAAATAAAAAAGCACTTTCAAAATAATAGTAAAATAACCAAGATTTTTCTTCAAGTATTAATAAATATAATAATGCATTGTTGTAGATATTTTACTACAATGTAGCAATTAAAGAGCAAAGGACAGGACCTAGAATTAAAAGGCAGATTGAAAAGATATACATGAGTTGAAAATGAGTTCATTTCAGTCTTCTCTTAGTGGAAATTGCTAAGATAATACTGATACATTTCATACTAGACAAGATGATTATAGTATTATTTATTAAATTTATATGGTGCCCATGTCACTATCCAATGATTGCATGGTTTAAAATACCATAAATAACAGTATAAAACAATTAAAAGGTTAAAACATTGGGCACTGAAAGTTAAAATATTAAAATTAATAACAAAGTGGATAAAAAGACTAATGTATAAACAGGTTAGAGGTGAAATCTTTTCTGTTCTATTAGCTATCTCCAGAATGGGACGCCTCCATCAGGATTGCTTTTATTATTGATAGTGGAATAATGACTGACATCACAGAGATTACATTAGGGATGGCTTAATACTATCTAAGGCTATAAAAGTTATATTAATCACAGAAAGGGTTCTTTATAGGCATGCTGTTTTCAAATGTAATTACCAGGTGTTTCCTGGAAGTCTTAATAGTAAAAGCCTATAGGCAAAAGCCTTTCTGCAGTGTTCTGCTCCTATTTACAGCTGTGCTGTCATTATGTCTTCACTCATTTTCTGAAGGCTAAGTATATCCATCTCTTCAATCTTTCTTAATACGATTTTTTTAGGTAGTGTAGTGCCCTGAACATTCTCTTTTTTTCCTTCTCTGAATCAGTTCCATTTTGTTCTAAATCCTTCAGACCTGGGCCCAAGTCTAACCAAAGGAGAAAAAATGTCTGATTTGGAAATTATACTAAGGCTAATATTTATGCTGCAATTATTATTTTTCTAGCATGTTATTCTGCTAGCTCATACTCATGTAATAGTTTGCACTCCACTATTACTAATAATTACTATTATTCAATGTCATTTTCAGAAATACTGTGTCAGGTTAAGTATTCTACATTTTGAGTTGTGTTTTTTAAACTTCTGCATTTGTCTCTATCAAATATCACTATTTTAGCTGGTAGCTCATCCAGATAATTTTGATTTTTTTCCCCCTGTCTTCTACAGTATTAGCTACCATATCCCATTCAACTTTGTATCATTTCCAAATCTCATAAACTTCCTTTTAACTTTTCATATAACTCATTCATGAAAATATTAAAAAGTAGAGGTTCTCAGACCAGGAAATTCCAGGTTACCTCTTTGTTTTCTTGTTGATTTCACATTGCATTTGTTTCCTATGAACTTTTTTGTTTCAGATTTTCATATTTTATCTGTTTCTGCTATCTCCAGTTTTACCACATTGTTTGCAGTTGTATTTTAAGTATCTCTTATTTAGAAACTTTGAAACTTTAAGCCTGGTTTCCCTTAGTTTCTTTTGTCAAGGTCCCCTATTTAGCAATGCTCTGAGTTTATTAAAATCTGCTTTCTTGAAGTGTAAGATATGCTTTTGTTCATTCACTTCCACTTAATCAACTAAGTATCGATTAGTATCATGTTAAGGCTGGCTGATTCTCTTGTGCCTTCCTTCCTCTACAAGAGAAAGTTATCATAAAGAAAGTTCACAGATTCCTGGAAGCAGTGTGCTGATATCATCTTCCAACAGATGATAGAGCTTCCTGTATCTACAGTTTTATGTTTGTTTGAAACATCTACAATTTGCATTATAAAGATTTCAACCATATCTTGTTGCGGAGACAAGCAATAGTAGATGCCAATAGTACTTTTCTTTATCTTTTTCAGTTGATTTTATAGTTTTATCAAGTTTAATTTGGATTCCTGAGATATTTTTAACAAATAGTACAATTCCTTCTCTATTTCTATTGTTTCTGTTCCTTCTGAACAAATTGTATCTTTTAGTTACTATAATCTAGTCATGAAAACCATTCTACCAGGTATCCATTATTATATTTATGTTCTATAACAAAGCCTAAAATCATCGTATTTCTCATATTGTAAATATTAATCTGGGAGGGTGCAGTGGCCTACCGGTTGAGAAGCTTCACTGATGCTAAAATGTTAAATACAGTGTGACAGGGTAAGCTCCCATCTTGCCCCATCTCCTGCTAACCTAACTATTCAAAAGCATGCAAATGCTAGTATCTCTTCAGTGGGAAAGTAACGGTGCTCTGTGCGCCTTAGAATTGTAATCATGCGGGCCACGTGACCACAGAAGCGTTGTCAGACAATGCTGAATCCTTTGGCTAGGAAATGAAGATGAACACTGCCCCCTAGAGTCAGACATGACTGAAATGGGGAAACCTTTATCTTTAAATATTAAATGTGTAGACAATAAAGGTTGCATATTTTATCCATCAATATTCATACAGTATATGTATTTTTTTACTGATTTAAGAGCTTTTACTTCAACGCCTTCTGCCCCAAGGGTGCTTTTTCAGGAAGCAACTGGACTTTCTTGTTTTTTCTTTGAAGATGTTTCGCTTCTCATCCAAGAAGCTTCTTCAGCTCTCAGAGTTGAAGAAGCTTTTTGGATGAGAAGTGAAACATCTTCAAAGAAAAAAACAAGAAAGTCCAATTGCCTCCTAAAAAAGCACCTTCGGTACAACCATGGATGACTGAGAATCTCTACAGACTTTTAGCTATACAATTTGGAATGAACATCCTTTCAATGGTGTGGGATCTGCCAGCGAAAAAATTGCAGACTACAGTAATCAGGAGCTCTACTCAAGTGACCCTGAGACACACATAAACCTCCAAGTGCTTCAACAACCCTATAAAAGGATGCAAATGACCAGCTGTCTTCAAGGAATATAAATCCTTCTATTCCCCACTATCCTGTCAGAGCTGAAGAAGCTTCTTGGATAAGAAGTGAAACATCTTCAAAGAAAAAACAAGAAAGTCCAGTTGCCTCCTGAAAAAGCACCTTTGGGACAACCATGACCTGGTTGACTGAGAATCTCTATAGACTTCAACACCTTCTCTTTCTACAGCAAACAGCTCTTTATCCAAGATCATCATTTGAGGAATTCTCTTTCTGAGCCTTTTCAAGTCTTGCTAAAGAAAATTACCATGCTGTGATACAAAATATTTCTTCCAAGCCTTCTGAGGAATAGTGTATTTACTATCAATAATATACCATCTGAATAATTCCAGTCATAATTTAGGGAGACTCAAATCCCTCCATTCACTTCATTTGTGAACCTAGTTCTTTCATTCCTTGAGTTACGGTGTTCCTTCTCTTTCTTGTCTTCCATAGAATGAAAGAATGGATGAAAATACAGCTAACAACTCAAAAGATCTTAAGCGTTTTTTCAAGACCATAATGATATAATTATGCAACCAAAAATAATTTTTTGCCATTTACATCTGCTCACCTTAGAAAACATTATACATTATAAATAATACCCTTGTCTGTTCCCCACTATCTACCATCATGAACATTTTTGTCCAAAATGTGTATCTGTGACTGGATCTGTCTCAATTTTATTTGATTCTGAGCAATTTCATTGGAGTTATTTTTAATCATTATGATTTTCTTACTGTTTCTTTTATACCGTGCTTTGATAAAAGAGCATAATAAATACACCCATCTTTATAGGTTATGGAACAGTCCTCTCCCAATTTCTTTTCTTTTGATGGATTACAAATTGCTTTTATTGATTTTATGTAAAACTACAAGCCTCTTTAATTGGAACAATTCACACACTTCAGTTCTAAAAGCTGATTAGCATTTTTTTAGTTTGATGATTATAAAAAAGATTCTTAATATTCTGCACATTTTTCCTAGATTTCTTGCTACAGGTATATTCTGTGTCTTCTGTATCAGGGGTTGCCAACCTTTTGGACCTCAGGGACCACCACACTCATAATTTTAAATCCCACAGACCACTAATATGAATTTTGACTGACGGTGGCTTGCTGACGTTGGAGAGGGAGAGAGAGAGAGATCTCATCGAACCTCAGAGGGCTGGTGGTGATGTTCTCTCTTTCCCTCCCGCCCTCTCTCTCTCACATACACACACACACAGGTCCCTCACACACTCCCACCCCCTCCAAGGCAGCCACATTCCTAACCTGATTTTGAGCTCCATTCTTTGGCAGGGGAGAGAGAGATAGTATTCTGTGATAGGTAGAAAAACGGGGTGGGGGATTTTCCTGCAGACTTTTTTGGGGATTTTCCCTGGGTCTCTGCCAAAATCCCCCAAAAAGTCTGCAGGAAAATTCCCCACCCTGTTTTCCCATCGATCGATCATTCTTTATTTGGGATCTTTTGGCTTCATGCAAGGAAAGCAGCAGAAGCAGCAGAAGTCTTCCTTTCTCTCCCCCCAAACTCTGCCAGAAATGAGTCTTTGCTGGTGCAAGACTCATTTCTGGTGGAGTTTAGGGGACAGAAAGAAAGACTTTTGCTGCTTTCCTTGCATGCAGCCAAAAGCAAAAGAAGAAGCGGAAAAAAGCAGCCCGGTGGCCAGGCAAGTTTCCCCCTCTGCCCTTTCCCCCCCTCCCCTCACTACCTCGTGTTGTTCCAGTGCAGCCTTGTGTTTCCGCAGTCTGGATTAATTGCTTTGGGGAGTGCTCTGGGGGTGACATTTCTCTGTGGACCACCAAAATTTTCTCACGGACCACCAGTGGGCCGTGACCCATCGGTTGGCGACCATTGCTCTATATTCAGCCTTGCACATTTGCTTTATGTTAAGGTTTCCATATTTTAATTTTTGAAACCTAAGAATGGGATTATTATGTAATTAAACCATACTTTTTAATTTTATACTATTCATACAATCACCTGTCCTAAATGCATTACTGCGGGTGATGATTATAATTATAAAGACAATATAAAACCCATAAATTATTAAAATAATACAATATAATGAACTGTACTTTCCTGATTTTTGTTACTTTAAAATCTGCACATATCTCAAACTATTTCTTTAGTGACTACCAATAGGGCTGACTGAGCATGAAGTTTTAAAATCAGTATCCTTTGCTCTTTACAAACCACCGTCTGTTATAATTCAGACATTTCTCCTTCTTATATGCCATTACTTGTAAGAAGTCAACCAGTGTTTATGGATTCAAAGTTTCCTACCACTAGAAACAGTTAAGTCAGTCAGGTCAAACCACGCTCACAATATTACTGACATTGAACATGCCTCTTAATTTATTGCAGATTAGTAGCATCTTTTCTTAAAGATTCTGATCCTGCCTTAATCTAAAGAATTAAAATAGTGATACCCCACTGATTTTGCAAACCACTCATTTATTGATTAGAAGTTCTATATGCCAAGCATGTGGCTTCCTATTTTTTTCAACCATATCAACTTAGACTTGACATCATTTTTTTTAGAATAAAATGAAAATATTAAATTTGTCAAACAATGAAAGTTGACCTCCTGATGTTTCTTCCCCTGATAATCTATATCTGCTTGTTAAATAATCTCTACATAATTTCTCTCACACACATTTTTTCTCTATCTTTGTGACAAATTCTCAGAAATTGAAATCACAATTTGATTTCTGAGCTGCTATACTTTTATGGCACAAAAGTATGAGACTCTAGTCTAATATAACATTCTTCATATGATATGAAATATATAAATATGAAAATATAAGTCTGTAGCTTGGTAAACCAGTGTTTCTAACTAAGTTACAAGGTACCCACCCTAATAAACGAGTCCTAAGTGATTTGTCTCTAACAAATTTCTCTGAAGAAAAAATAAATAAATCATAAACAAGAACTTTTATAAAATTGTAAAGCTCATTCCCAATAAACAAGTATTTGTTAAAAGATCTACTGAGAGAGAGAATGTGTGCCATGCCTCTTTGCCAATTAAATCAATGTATGTGATATGAAATCACATGTCTCTTGCAATTTAGTTAGTGTTTCTTCTATGAAATCATGTCTTTGTTAATAAAGTCAGTGTCATGAAAACACAAGGCACTTTCTGATGAAGCTACAGTATATTTATTAAATGCTAACAGTTTTCTTCTCTAAACCACTCAAAAAAATTATAAACACTAGCTGCAATGGTGCTTTTGAAAAATAATGGTTCCCTATGCGTATTAAATAAAGTTTAATATTTTTATCCAAAACAAAAATATGAATGAAATCACATATCCATTGCTAAACCAACATTTACTATATATCATACATTTCATATGAAATCACAGTGTTACTTAAATCAGTGTAATAATAAATTATAAGTATCTGTCCCAATAAAGCAGCATTCCTAGCAAATCACAAGTCTCTGTGTAAACAACGTCTGAAATCAAAAGTCTCCCCAAGGTAAAACCGTGTGTGTGTGTGTGTGTGTGTGTGTGTGTGAGAGAGAGAGAGAGAGAGAGAGAGAGAGAGAGAGAGAGGGGTGGGGTGTGAAAGATACCTAAGCCAGTTTGTAATGGGAAAGAATGAGAAGTAAATTAGTATTGGGGGGGAGGTCTGCTTGTGTTTAGGTGATACCCTGACCTGTGAAATAAACAGCAACACAAAACCTGAAGCATGTTTTTGACATCTTGTTGCAGGCAGTATCTTTATTTATATGCTTAGTGGCCACTCCCTTTCTTCTTTTGCTCACTAAGTAGGAGGTATCGAGCAGAGTCTGTCCCAGGGGCTGTAACTAGAAGCGTTGCTCCTGTGTTTTGTTACTTTGGTGCAGGCCTCCTGATGTTGTTTCTGTCTTGTATATTTTTCTTCTCTGGGTGGAGGCAGAGAAAATTATTACTGGTGAAGAAAGTGTATAATTATAATTCCCCTCCCCTTTCTTTCAGATTTTGAAAGGTGATATGAAGTATGCATAGAATTATTGCGGCAACACAAAAGAAGAAATGTGATATATTGCCAATATTGAGAAAGAAGAATCAGCATAAAATACCTGCATACAATACGAGCTAAGAACTCCTGATTTTTGATAGTTGCGACTTTATTTTTAAAACTTTTAACAATGATACTACATTAGAATGTAAAAGAAAGATGAACATTATCTATAAGTATTTTTACAGTTTTTCAGATTACATCAACTTTATTCACTGGAGTTTCTGATATTCTTATGCTCTATTTTGACCAGATTTTAAAAACTATTTTCATAAATCAAATAGAGCATAACCACATTATTTAAGTGCAAGCTGAAGACTTGGAAGCAGGATCACAGTGCCATAATTTTTTAAAGCCCATTGTCTGAATTGCCTTTGTTTAGCTCAGATTACAAACAGTTTCCTTTATATAAGTCTATATTTGTTTCCTAAATAATGGCATGGGTAAAATTCTTGAGAAAACCTGGAGGAAATCTTGGAAAAGTATATCAGCCTGGAAGTGTGATGTCCCTGGCTCCCACCAAAGGCTTGTTAAATGAACCAGGACAAAACAGCTGCTTTCTTAACAGTGCTGTACAGGTAAGGAAGAACTACACATCAATTCCAAAGAGCTCCATGAGTTGTGAAAGCATTGAAAACATGTTGTATTACAGATATGTTAATCTATGTTCCTGTTACTATATGTATATGTGTAAACTATTCCAGTTCATATTTTTTATAGTTTTGATAACCTTTATTAAGAGAAAAGTCTTTCTAGTGGCAACAGAGAGTAAATTATTACTCTGACTGGTCATAAACTCCAGTACAGTTTATTTTTGATTGTCTGTTAAGACAAGATAATCAGGGGAAAAATTATAGACCAGACCAAGATATCAAAACAGGATGGATAAAATACCAGAATGAAAGGACAAATTTTATAGGATGCTAAAAAGATAATTTATTTTGGAAAAAAAATAGTACAATGGATTTCAACGTTCTTCATCAGTGCAGTGCTTAATTTTATTTATGTCCCACCATTATTATTTTTATAAATAACTCAAGGTGGCAAACACATGCAATTCTCCTTTCTCCTCCTATTTTCTCCACAACAACAATCCTGTGAGGTGAATTGGACTAAAAGAGACTGACTGGCTCCGGTTTTTCATGCCTAAGGCAGGACTAGAACTCACAGCCCCCTAACCTCTAACCAGATGCTTTAACCACTAGACTGAACTGGCTCTCATATATAAAGATTACATAAAATTCAAAATATAGCCAAATGCTCTTTAAGGCAATATAAAAACTGCTAAAATTATAGTAATTGAAATCAATACTATATTCAATACTTCTATTACATTAAAACTAAATTTGTGATGTAAAATACTTTATACCAGGCCTATGCAACATTCAACTCTCAGGCTTCTTTCAGAATTCCAAGCGGCCTGCTAGCATTATTTGAAACTGCTATAAATTCATCTCTGACCTGAAAAAGGACTGTCAAGCACTTCTATGCCTTGCTGCCACTGATTGACACACCAGGTGGTGCACAGTGATTTTTAATTTATCAGTGCCCTTTTGCCTCTACAATTTGTGCAAGCCTGTTCTATACCATAATACTCCCCAATTCTACAAGCATAACATTTTCAAAGTATTCATTCAAAGTAAACATTCAAGGTAAACTTTAACTTCTGTGAAAGGTTTCTTTGACTGATCAAGAAAGAAGCCAGATTGTTTTTAATGGTTTTATGTTTAAATTCTTCCAATAAAAGAATTCATGTTTGGACATTTTACTGCTTCTTCAAACATGTTTTTTTGCTATAATTTTATCTATTTTAATAAAGGCCATTCTAAGTATCTGTTTCTGACACAAACTGATCACAAAGAGTAAATAAAATAATTCATATAAAAATATTGAAAATTGATGCAACGTTTATTGAAAAAAAAATTTAACAAATCCCTATTAATTATATACTTCAAAGTCCATTCCCAAAATAGGAATTTCTTACAATTGTAATTGAAATAAATATTAATCAGTATGTGGTAACGAGCTCCTTTCAGAAAGATGTAGAATATTAATTCCAACAAGGTTCTTTAGGTAAACTGTAATAACAATTAGCTAATACATCAAAAAATTAATGATTGCAGTTTGAATATTGGAAACATAACAATATTGAAACTTCCCATTTGTTTTATATATTTATGTGTGTGTGTATGGTTGTATGTATGTATGTATGTAAGTAAGTAAGTAAGTAAGTAAGTAACAATGTCATTAAAGTGACTGGATATTTTTGAAAGGTCCATGTTTATATAGTTTATTTGTTTATATACCCTTATTCTGTGGTACTGAATTTGTATGTCAATGTATGTTGGATATCTTTGAATTTTGGATAATATATAAAATTAGAATGGGATTTTAATTATTGATAATATATGATATTTTAAAATTATGCTTTAATATTCATTTATTAGTGAAATTTTTCATATAACATTATTAATGCAAAGCTGTGTTGTTGTCATAACATCCTCCAATGTACAATATCCTTTCCAGAGAATTATTATACATAGAATAATAATTGAATTATGACCAACCTCATAAGCACTTCAGATACTCCAATTGAAATTCTTTGTATTTCATTAGTACCTATGTTTCCTAAACTCTTATTGAAAAGTGCTATATATGAATGAAGTGTATAATTGGTATACATTGCCTTGAAAGCATGTGCATCTAACTAAGCTGGCAAGGGTTTCCGTAAATGTTTTAAGCATGCTTTTTACATGTATCTCTCCTCCTGCACTGGGTTAAAATATGACAATTTGACATTTGTTCATGGAGAGAATTACATGATATGATATGATGGATGATTATGAGATATATTTAATAATTGGAATTGTTTCTGAAATAATACAAAGTTAAAATTAAACTTTTTTTCTTTTCTTAGAAATTGAAATGACTGGATATATGGTTATTTGATATGAATTCTAATTGAGAGTTAATATATTCTCATGTACACCATATTTGTTCCTAGCAGGAAGTGATGACAAGTTTTTTTTATTAAATGGAATCTGGTTTATTTTTGTCCTATCAAGTGATATGTTCTTAATTTAAAAGGCTGCTTAACTACTGTTTCTTTTCCAAACAGTACAAAATACTGTGTGGAATTATAGGTTTAATTATTTTGAGCTTTATGAAGTGATCAAGTAATGCCCATTGTTTTTTAAATCACAGTTTTGAAGAATGTTGCTGCAATGTGACATATTAATATAACAATAACTATTTTAGTGTTTGTGCTCATTTTTATGCTCAGTGAAATGATTATGATTAAATTTATGAGTACTATGATAAATAAAATTATATATACATACACACACATATAATATATACAGCGATGTCCTATATCCTGTCAGAATAACCATAACAATTCAAGAAAATTACTAGGTAAAATATAGCGTAAAATTATACATTGGTTTAAACAATAATAGACGAAAGAAAACAAGTTGGGTAGGAAACAATTATCATTTAATATCTATTCAGAATTATTGCAGGTTCTACTAAAGAGCATCCTCTCAAAAGCAATGTAAATATAGTATTTCATGTTATCGTGGTGTATCTGTAGCAATTAATTGACGTTTAGAATAAAAATAAATCTTTGGCAAAAATGGATATTAGTTTTTCCTTCTTTGTAGGTTTTATGGCAACTTGATATATTCCGTCGAAGTTTAAGAGGTCTCACGGGACATGTTTGCCAAGGTGATGCCTGCATATTTTGTGCTTTGAAGGTAACCTCATAATTTTCTTACTTATTTTGTTTAATGGAAATTAATTCTGGCAACTATTCATAAAAATCTCTGATTCATTAACACATCTAATAAATTGTAGGATTTGCTAATTGTTTTAATTGGTTTTGATCAATATTCTGTGCATAAACCCTAAAGCAGATATAGACTTTTTTTTTCTTTGAAAGGACTTGTTCCTTCTGTTAAAATTTGTGGATTACCATATAATAATGGTAGCATTGTGAAATTGATTAGAACATCTTTATTTATTTTTTTATGATGCTCTTTATTTCCCCAAAACTGGAGGACCCAACTAAAAAATAAATAATCAATGTTTGGATTGATTCCTTGTATGGATGTTTTGGAATTAGACTGAAGTACATGAATTGGCTTAAGGATAGTAATTGTGTGCTCTTTATCTAAAACAGATGTAGCTTAATTAAGGAAAAGAACTAGATAATAAAAACAAGTGTAATTGTTGGATAACAGTTGTTACTTCATTTACTACTAGGATTATTACATTGTCTCATGTTGCTGTTCTTTGTTTAGAGAGGGTAAAGATACAGCTTTCATGCCATGTTTAGCCATTGTGGGAATTGAGTTGCTGTAGTACTGAATGTTGATATTTTAGCCTTTTATTATTATAGTTGTAGCAGAAGCAAACTGTGTTGCCATTCTGGCTCAACTTTTCTGACTTTCAATGAGCTCAAATGTCAAGAAAGTTCTTCTCTTGCTGAATTTTTTGTATATATTTCTAATCATGATAATACTATAATCCATTTCACATATTTATCTCTTATTTGAAAGGAATAAGCACAAATATAGCAATAGCACATAGAGCTTTACAGCAGTCTCTAACTGCAGTCTCAGTTTACAGAATCAGCATATTGCCTCCAACAGTCTGGGTCCTTATTTTACCAATCTCAGAAGAATGGAAGGCTGTCAATCTTTAGCCAGTCAAGATCAAACTCATGGCAATGGGCAGAGTTATCCTGCAATATTGCATTCTAAACACTGTGCCACCATGGTTCATGATTGTGTATTCCAGTTTGTTACAGATTCCAGCTTCTTGGCTTATTAATGAGATTTGATAGCAGAGGAAGCAGCAGATTCCAATTCATGCATATTGTAAACAGCCAAGGATATAGATTTTGGGTTCTTTTTAGCCTATCAATTTGTATGAGGAATAAAGCAGAAGTGAATTATGGCATATCATGGGTAAATGGTATTGTGTATAGGGTAAGTTGTGTTTCTATATCAGAAAAGGAACAGTTGCTGAAGGTCAACTTCCAGAAGTCATAGCCAGCTAATAGCGAAAAATCTTTGTTCTACAGTAGTTCAATGACATCTGGAGAATCACAAATTCTCAACACCACCAAATGCTGGTCTCCCTGTTTTGTTGTATTCAAGTACGCTATACTGTTCCCAGTCATTTATAAAATGTATAAATATTGCTATTGATTTCCAGACAATATTTTCCCAATTCCAACACAGTCGAGAAAAGGCTCTTCCTTCAAATAACATGAGGCATGCCTTGGCTGAAAGTTTTAAAGATGAACAGCGATTTCAGCTTGGTTTTATGGATGATGCAGCAGAATGTTTTGTAAGTATGATATTATAGTATTTAACATTTATTTTAGGTATTGTTTTGATTCTTGGAATGACTGCAGAAGAACCATATTTGATATTTCAAAAGATGAATCAGTTTAGGGCAATATTCTTTTGGATTCTGAAAAGGATTATAACATTTTTTTTTTAAGATTGAAAATAAAGGTAATTTGCAATATTAAAATTTTTTGAGCTGTTATATATACCCAGATAGATAGAATTGGGTCATCATTTCATTTGATACAAAGATTATAATTCTGAATACAATGGGGAGGGTTCCCTTAATTTTTTTTCAAATCGCTATTGTCCCTTTATTCTGTGGATAAGAACATAGAGCAAAGGAGCCTGGTTTATTTCAGAATGAAACAGAAATTGTTCTTGTGAGATAAAAATGACTATATTGAAACATATACAAGCCATTTTGAAGATTCAATTGGTGAAATGTATTACCTGAAAGAGCAGGTTGGGGACAGATAATGTTTGCATATAAAATCTCTAATACTCAACTCCAACTTGATTGCCTATCATTATCATGATTAAAATAAAACATTTACTTGTTTAGGAAAATATCCTTGAGAGAATTCACTATCACATAGTACCAAGCAATGGAACAGATATGTGCACTTCCAAATCCTGCATAACACATCAAAAGTTTGCTATGACATTATATGAACAGGTAAGATATTTATTCATGTTTATTTTACTCTTTGCCATTTGAAATCTCTAAAAAAAAAATTAAAAACCCTTTGTTTTATTTACAGTGTGTATGTTGTACTTGTGGGGCATCTTCAGACCCTTTACCTTTTACAGAATTTGTACGTTACATTTCAACAACAGCATTATGGTAAGGAAATGTATTTTTATTGTGCTTTGTCCTTTTTCCTCCATTGTTCTCATAAGTTAACAATTTTAGTGTAAATAGTGAGATGCAGCTTAGAACAAAATACTAGCTTTGATGAATAACCTAACTCTTTATCATGTTGAAGCTGAAGAATATTCACATCTGAAAGTGTAATCAATTCTTGGGGAGGGATATATTTATGTTCTGAAATTCCATTGTATTTGTTGTTAAATGAGAATGAAATATTTACTCTAAGTAGCCTTGGGTGATATGAACATAATTACATATATTACACACTCAGCTTCTGGTGACTTGATGGACAAGTCTACATAGTTTTTGTCACAGTTGTGCAGAAACATTTTGCAATTGCTTTCTTGGATGTTTTTCCAACTGTCTGGCGTTATAGCATTAGGATTTTCTTGTGACAGTCTCCCATTGAAGTAACTAAATCTGATTCTGCTTAGCTTTTTATTTAGTATTTATTAGTTACACTTAAATAGCCACCCATCTTACAAAAAGAATTCTGTGTGGTGCACAACAATCAAATAAAAATCACAGACATAAAGGTTTTTAAGGTTCAGAAGTTGTGACAGTTGGCAATTTCTGACCTGATCAAATCTTTTTTAGGGTTATTAGATCAGCCTTTATCTTACTTCTTTGGGAACTAAAATAACAGCTTGAACTAATAGGAAGTTGCTTCCTCCCAGATGGTGGAAATGAGAATTTAACTAAAGTATTTCACAAGGCACAGCAGAGGAAATTTCTCCTTGGAATAAATTATCATATTCTCCTACATAAACGATTTCCCATCAGTCCAAGCTGTAATCCTACTTCCAAGTAGAATGGACATTTATAGGTAAGCTAGATGTATCCATTTAACAAGTATAATCTTGTTATTGTGATGGAATGGAATAACAAACATAATTTTTAGACATCACTACAGATTTTAAACCTATAAATAATGCTTTCTACAAATGAAATGTCTAGGAATGTTGAAATTATAGCAAAATGTTTTATTTCATCTATATAGCCCAATATTTTTAATTACAATGGAGAAGATTATTGCAGTATATTTGCTTCATATGATCAGAAATGGTCAAAGCATTTTTTTTCCAGAAGCATTTTTTAAGTCATAAGAACAATAGCAAACCGTTGTAATGTGGACCAGAGCTCAGTTCATAAGCTGTTAAGGTACCCTGTCTGGTTTTAAGCATCTGCTTTTTCCATCCTTGAAAATACTTATATTCATATTTCCATAATATATTTTCTTTTCTTGAACCCTTTTGTATGTGTAATATCCTGTAAGATTTACATAGATCCATATCTGTAAAAGAAATAATGTTTTTTGCCCTAATTTTGCTCACCATCTTTAATGTAAATATTAAAATGTTCACCTTCAACCATGGAAATTCACTTGGGAAATGCTAATCATGATCTCATCTCAATCTACCATACAGGGTTATTATATGGAAGAATGGGATGAATTAGTGCTATTGTGCTATATTGTATTCAGTGAAAATTGGAATATAAATCTAATAAATACAAGAACATTCTGTTAATTGCAATAATAAAATGGACTAAATCAAATTTTTCATTTGCAGCAATGAAATTGATAGAATGGTGGAAAGACATGAAAGACTCAAGCCAGAAATGTTTGCTCAGCTGCTTCAGGCTGCAAATACTACAGATGACTTCAGAAACTGTCCTGTAAGTTTACCAAAGAAATAGTGCTCTTCTATTTTGGTGGGGGTTTCCCCCCTTATAATGATAAATTCAAACATTAAGTGAAGTCTGTCTTGGCAGCTCAATGTAGCTTAATTTAATGTAGCCAATTCAATGTAGCCTTTAATTTAAATCATAAATTAAATGAACACATGTTGCTATCACAAAGTTAAAACAAGATCCCAGGAAAGTAATTCTTAAATAATTGTTTTGTTTTGGCTCTCAGATAAAATAATAGCTATTTGAAAAAGGTTAATTGTTTTCTATCCTTTATCCAATTATACCAGTTTTCCCAAACTGTAAAACATTTTGAGTCTTCCTTATCTTTTAACTTTTGGGTGAGTTTATCCATATAGAAAGGATAGAAACCTGTGAATAAACAGATAGGTAAGGGAAAATATGAAGAGGTCATGATAGGAGTATATACCAGATATAGGACCTAAGTATTGGAAAATTGTTTGATAAAAACTCACTGTCTAAGCAATTAGAAATATTTTATGTTATTACATTTATTGGTTATGTATAACTTTTTGGTTTTATATTTTACGAAATATTTTGTGTTATGTATATATTTTTAAATGTTTAATAAAGTTTATTTTTAAAAGAAAAAAGAACAAGGTTAACTGTTTTTAAAATAATATATCAAAATTTATTGTACAGAAAGTCTTTACATTATCAAGTGTAAAAATTATCATTTTGGAGACTTTAAAATAACTTGTGATTTGCATGGTTTTAGAAAAATCATATAGTTTATTGATACACAGAACAATTAATTGCAATTAAATACTTCACTTTTAGAAAACATAATGGCATATCTTAATAGTTATTAAATTAGATTATCTTAACAATTAGTTTTCAAAATTAGTTTTTGTTGTGAGTAGTTTTTCCATTATGCCTCTATAAGAGTTGCAGAAATGTCTGACACTATGCAACAGTAGTGACCAAAAATCAAATTATGGTAATTTGTTTTAGTCTCTAAAGAAATCTACTTTAAAGAAAAGTGGTAGGAAACTCAGATGAATTGCTACATATTGTTAGCATATTTAAGTTTTATAACTGATTATTTAGATCAGAAATAATGGAATTTGGGATGTGAATAAATTGGAGATGTTGTCTATTATTGAACATAGTCTTTTAGTGAATTTATATAAACCGGTTTATATAAAGCTCTTGACATTCAAAAGCATGTACAGCATTGTCCCTTCTTTTTTTGTAGAGCAACTGTGGCCAAAGAATTAAAATTCGCCGTGTTCTAATGAATTCTCCAGAAATAGTTACTATTGGATTAGTTTGGGATTCTGAACATTCTGACCTAACAGAAGATGTCATCCGAAATCTGGCAACACAACTTTATCTTCCAGGGGTATTGAACATATTAACATATTTAATTTTCTGTGTTCTCTGAACACATTAAAAGAACTTTGAAATTACTGAGAACAGAGTTCTGTCTGTGTCTTGTCTAATACTACAATCCTATATTCAGAAGGAACTCAATCAAATGAAGTTGGAATTTCTCCCTGAAAAGCATACATAGTATTCCATGCTAAAGGATTTTTTTAAAAAAACTTTATAACTGGATTGTATATGACTCAAGTAGAACATAAAACTTCTAATGAGGGAATCGGTTCTATAATGGTTTATTCTGAAAAAGGCATCTCTCAGATTACAGTTTAAAGGATTCAAATGCTTTATTTTACAGTACATGGTTTGCTAAATAAACTGAGTGAACTCTTTCAATCTGGCTATGTAAAATTGTTGTGATAATTCTCAGCTTTATTTCTTACTTGCTTACCTATCATTTTTACAGTTATTTTATAGGGTTACTGATGAACATGCCAAAAACAGTGAGCTTTTTCTTGTGGGGATGATATGCTATGCAAGCAGACATTATTGTGCCTTCGCATTTCACACGAAGAGTTGTAAATGGGTTTTATTTGATGATGCTAATGTTAAAGAGGTAAGTTAGTTGTGGTATTGAATTTTATATAGAGGCATCCAAATAGCTCCTAAAGATAGTTAAACATATTTTATATAATGTTCTGACATCCTTAATTTTGATATTGAGACATGAAGTAATGTCTTGATATCAAAATTAAGGCAGTCAGAATATTTTATAATGCACATGACCTAAGGTGAAAGGTTTGGATGGGAGTGAAGGTTCGTTCTCCAAGCTTGTGGGTTGGTTTCTGTACATTTAATTACCAGGCTAGGTAACCTCTTCAGCGGAGTTTAGGAGACGTCTGTGTCAATGTTTTTCTGTTTATAAGGGCTTCAGGTGTGGGTGTGTAATGAGCATCTTGTGATGGGTCAGCTATGAGTCATCAGTGGGTCTTGTGATGAAATTATATCAGGTCAGAGTCATTGAGAGGTGAACTGGGGGGTGTCACTTGGGTTGGTTGATGGTGGTGCTGTGTCTGGTTGGCTGCGCAGTTGATTTGGATTCTGAAACCAATCCACAAGCTCAACAGTGAAAGTTCATCCTCATCCTACACCCGAGCTACAGATATTCACCACTATTGCAAATGAAAGGTTTAGTTTTGTTCTAAGTCGTGCAGGACTTTGTTGCTTCACTAACATGCATTACACAAAAGGGCTGTAGAGTTATTTTTCACATATCTAAACTATTTAAAGAAGTTTTGATTTGTTTGGATTGCTACTTTTTTTTAACTGATTACTTCTCTTTTAGGTTGGAACAAAATGGAAAGATGTGGTATCCAAGTGCATCCGGTGTCACTTTCAGCCATTGCTATTATTTTATGCAAACCCAGATGGTACGCCGGTATCAACAGAAGATGCACTTCAGCATATAATTCATTGGTCACATTATAAAGCCTCTGCAGGAAATGGAGAAGAATTTGGTAATAGAAATTTGAATATTTGCAACTTCATATTTATTTAGTAAGATGTGGAGATGCTTAATATGGTGTGAATAAACTGAAAATTGGCCTGCCAACATTATATCCGTAAGCCATCTTTTTTCCCCGCTCATTATACATGAAAGTCTTCTCTAGTTTTATCCTCAGACTGACTGTGTGGCAAGTTGGAGTAAAGATAGTAATTCTCCCAAAATTTTCCAGTTGACCGCATGTTTATTTTGTTTTTATTTTATTTAGCAATTTTATATACCAACCCATCTTACAAACATGACTTATAATAAATGGCATATAATAAACATTTTAAACAAATATATACAATCATTTTAAAACAATTAATCATAAATATAACTAAGAATGGGCCAACATCCTAAATACAATATAATCACTTGAGAACCTCCTGTGCCCATGGGATTCCCAAGGCTGCTAAAACAGGTTTTCTCTGAAACGCTAATAAAATTAGGCAATTGATTGAATGAACTTTGGTGCCCTTAACATTAATGTATTAATGCATAATTTTTTGCTGTCAGTTCTAGGGATAGAAAAGTTGTGGGATCTTTCGTTATTAAGAAATTGAGTCTGAGGCGTATTTAATTTTTCACATTGGATGGAGTATATGCAAGATAGATACATGATTTCCCCTCCGCCCCCCCCCGCCCCCCCCAAAAAAACCTCAGATACTAGCATTCTATCAGAGAATACATGTAGTTCATTGTTGAACTGTGGAGCCCTTGCTACTCTCTAAACTTGGTTGTTCTCTTATTTGGTTGTGGTTTCTTTTTTTTCCAATAACTAAATGTTTTTAAAACATGGGGTTTTTTAAGTCTGAAATGGAATTTTACTTTGAATTTATTTATTAGTAAACGATGAAGTTTGATCATTCTTCAAATATTTTTCCTATTAAATTTAAATTATGTAGTGTGCCTAGTATAGTTTTTATTCAGGCATTTATTTTTAATTTGTTAGGCAGGCTATTCATCAGAAAATCAATTTCAGAGATAAAATGAGTAAACTTTTTCTTCTTAAAAGTAATGTTTTTTAATGTTTCTTTTTTCTAGGATTTGAGAAATATACTTTTCTTAAATCAGATTGTGTAAAGGAGAATGGATTTGAAGAAACTTCTAACCAGAAGAGTAAAAAAGTTCAGCTAGAAAACTTTACTAGGAACTATACTCAACCTACTAATATCAGGGGGTCGAGTATGTATCATACATGGTTTTTTTAATTTCTGGGATGAATTATAGTTAGATTAATTGAAGGTTAACCATACATAATTTTTGTTCAGCTTTTAAAAATGTTATCATTACAAGTGATTGAACATTATATAAGCTAATTATATAAAATGTCTAGCAACATACCATGGTACAATGTTGCTCAAATTTTCTGAATCAGATCCTTTTGAAATTTCAATATTTCTACGTAAACATGACCTAAAATATAATATGTTCTCCATATAAATCAAGGATCTTCAAACTTGGCAAGTTTAAGACTTGTGTACCAAATCCCAGAATTCCTGAGCTAACGTGACTGCAAAAGGAATTCTGGGAATTGAAGTCCACAAGTCTTAAAGTTTGAAGACCCCTGACATAAATCTTCAAACTAGATAAAGAGAATCCAATGAAACAAATGAATCAAAAACAATATTTGAAATTACAGGCGGTCAACTTATAATTATTCATTAATGACCATTCAACATTACAATGGCACTGAAAAGAATATTAGATCTGGTCCTCAAACTTATGACCATTGCTGAATCTCCATAGTCATGTGATCAAAATTTTGACATTTGGCAACCAGCATGTATCTGCAGTTATTGCAGCATTTTGAGGTCACGTGATCACCATTTGCGGCCTTCCCATCTAGCTTCTGATAAGCAGTCAGTGGAGGAAGCTAGATTCGCTGAATGACTGAATGGTTCATTTAACAACTGTGGTAATTAACAACCAGGACAAAAAAAGATCAAAAAATTGTGCATGACTCACTTAATGACCACCTTGCATAGCAGTGGAAATTCTGGTGCCAATTGTGGTCATAAGTTGAGGACTACTTGTAGTTTCAAATAGTCTGATTATTCCAAATCCAGTCTGATTGTTCCAAATCCAGTTGAATATGGAGGGTATACTCAGTATATTTAAAAACCTAAGGGTTTTTTTAGAATTATTGGGTTCTTAACCCCAGAATCTATAATATATCATTTCTGGGAGTAGTCTTATTGTTGCTTTTCTCATTCCTGGTCTAAGTAAGCTTTGGAAAAGGGAAGGTATGAGAATGAACCTATATATGCTACTTCTTAAGATTTATCATTTTCAGTACTTTCTTCAGAAAAAAAAAGAAACCTGAGATCCAACATTTTTCCAATACCTTCTGAAGAAAAATTAGAGAATCCCCCCAAAATAGAGGATATAACCCACTGTTTTTTTTTAAATAATATGATTGTAATCTGTTAAGCATTATAGGTTGCAAGAGTTAAACTTCTTTATATCTGCTGAGGTTATTTTCTGTTCAAAAGTTTAGAGAAATTTGAATTAGATTGTCTTCTTGTCTCTTCCATTACTGTAAATGTGAACAGCATAATTCATTTATTGCTGCAGGTAAATTGGGACATAATGATCATAGGGAAAAAACAAAAGATCTTTCCAGAGAATGTGCTCAAAAGGCAGCTGAGATGAAAAGTAACCCATCATCATTAAGAAAAAATCCTGACAGAGGATCCAGGAGAGAATCTGGGAAACAAAAAGGTAACAGAATTTTCCTCTGGCTAATTCCTCCCATATACATTAAACCAATCTATCTTTGCCTTGAAATTCTAAGGAAATGAAAGATATTTTATATAAAGAAGAACGTATAAATGTGAATACTATAAATAAATCTGTTTTGGTACTTTGTTTAAGATCTATCAGGAGAAATACACACTAATCTTAAACCAGGATCACCACCTTCTGGAACTGGATTTAGGCATCATTCCAATGAACATCTATATGGAAGTCAAGGGAGAGGATCTTATCGACATGAAAAGGTGCACAATCAAATTAGATCCACTGTACAGATATTCAACTCAAATAAAACAGAAGATGGAGCGAAGGTGAACCGTATGAAAACTGACAACACAGCTGGTTATGAAACAGATAGTAGCCAAGATTCCAAAGATAAAGGAAGCATCAGTAGCAGCAGAAGTCGAAGCAGAGGCTGGAAACCCATGCGAGAAACACTGAATGTTGATAGCATCTTTATTGATTCAGAGAAAAGAGAGCACAGCTCAAAATCCAAGCTAAATGCAAGCAATAAACCAAAACATGAAAAGGAGCAGAGTTCAATCAACTGCCCCAAAGAAATTCAGAGCCTGAAGGGTCTGATGACTATATATGAAGATGAAGGAAAACAAGGAGGAAGCCAGAATTCACTGGATTTGGAAAAGAAACGAAATAGAGAAAAAACAACAGGATTTATAGAGAGAAAGGCTCATCCTGATAATTGGCAGGCACAAAGGACTGAATCTGGCTATGAAAGCAGTGATCATATCAGCAATGCATCTGCTAATTTGGATTCACCAGTTGCTGAAGGAAACAGCTCAGTTGATCCCAACAATCTGAAAGAAAACATTTTCTGCAGGTAATGATATTAAATATGTATTTGTGATTGTACAAAGTACATATACATTATTATATAAGAATACCAGAATACAAACAACCCTACCAAATTTTAACTTTTAAAATGAAATAGACATTCTTTTTTAATAATAATAGACTTCATGGTATTCCAATTCTGTTGGTAATTAAAAGCTTGAGAGAAAAGAAATACAAAACCAATTGTGTAATAAGTAGAATTCCTTCCATTGATTTTCTATTTATATTTGAGTATAAATTATAGAAAATATTTGCTAATTTATCAAATCAAATCTTTACTATGGACATTATGTAGATTTCCTATATTGGAGGGGGGGAGTTAAACACATTTTATTAAGATCCAGATGTAACATTACTTATATTTAGATGGCAGTATTTAAGTTATTTAAATAGAATAACGACACTGAGTTTTGTAAAATATTAAGATTATAATCATGTAAAATATTGTCACTTTCTTTTTTCCATTTAATTTTTCTTTAGTTGGGTATGTTCTCTTGATGATTGCTTTATATTGCCAGTTATAATAGAGGGTAATAGGGGTGAGAGAAAAGAGGAACAAGGTTTGACTTTATATAAAATACATTTCTTTGTTGAAATTCTAGACTGCTGTGTAGAAATAGTTAGCTGTTTTTTAAAAGTTTCAGTAGAATGTTTCAGGGTTGGTGAATTCTGTTATACTATTTGTACAGGCAGTTGATAATTAGTGTATCCTTTTTCATAGTGACCAAAATCTATCAGTTAGATATTCTGGAAATGTCTTGCAGTCTTTCTCCCAGCTGAACAAAAACTCTTTGGAAGGTAAAGTTAATATATGTGTTTCGTCATCTTATTGAATTGTTAATTGATTTCTGAGTATTAAAAAATGTATTGTTTAAATGTTAGGGTTATTATAACTTACTATCTACAAATTCTTTCTTGATACAAATTGGCAGGTTTTCTAGCAAATTACTTATCAATTCTTGAAAAAAAACTAGTACCCAATTTGTGGAAATTTATGTTCAAATAATAATTAAAAAATAAATAAATGAGATTTATTCTCAACTTCTAAAATATTAATGTTTCATTAATAGTGGCAATAAAAGTGCAGTTCTAACATCAGACATATTAATATGACTAGAACATAGAGTCAAAATTCCTTTTGAGCTGTGTCTGATTTTAACCATGCATGGATCTTCATGTCAGCAGAAGAGAAAAATAACACATCTATTTTTATATTAGTTGGAATTCTGAAGGCACAGCAGCGAGCTGCTCTCATTGAATGTTTGCCACAGTGCTGCTATATTGGGAGTATTTGGTTGCAAGCTTGCACTGCCACCTCCTGTTGAAGATATATAGTAATTTAATAATAATAATAATAATAAATAATAAATAATAATAATAATAATAATAATAATAATAATAATAATAATAATAATAATAAT